CCTTGCTATCTTCCTTTTTCCTCTCCCTCTTTTCCCTCCCTCCCTTCTTCCTTCTTTCCTTCCTTCCCTTCTTCTCTTACACTACCTTCCTTCCTTTCCTTTTTCTTTCTCTTTCACTTCCATCCTCCCTTCCCTCCCCCTCCCTTCTTCCTTCTTTCCTTCCCTCCCCTATTTTCTCTTTCACTTCCTTCCCCTCTTTTCTCTTTCACTTCCTATCTTCCTCTCCCTCTTTTCTCTCTCATTCACTTTCCTCCCTCCCTCCTTTCCTTCCTTACCCTACCTGGTTGACTCTTGGCCTAACCCCAGGAGATGGTGACTTCTAGTCCCACCTTCGGCACAAAAGCTAGCTGAGTGACTTTGAGCCAATCTCTCTCTCTCTCTCTCTCTCTCTCTCTCCCTCCCTCCCCCCTCTCTCTGCCTAGCCCACCTCACAAGGTTGTTGTGTGGAAAAAGAGAAAGGTATAGTAGGCACAGTACGTCACAGCCACCTCAAGTTACTTGTATAGTAATAAGGTGGGATAAAACCAAATAAACAACATAACTGAGGCGTTTTAACATCTCAGTCATTTGAAGGGAATGTTTTGGTATCCCAAATGGGTTCAGTATTAAATAAACTTTTCCCCTTTTCCCTAGTTGACGAAACTTTCGAACAAGAAAAGACCAACTCCGAATCCAAGAACGACGTCCAGAACCCAGCCTCGGAAGAAGGCCAAGGAGAGCCGATCGATGACGACCTCCCGTTAACCCAAGAAGAGCGGGAAAACAAGGATTACCTCAAATCATTATTCGAGATTTTAATTCTCATGGGCAAACAAAACATCTCCTTGGACGGCCACAACGCCGACGAGCTTCCCGAAGGAATTTTCACCCCGGATAATTTCCAAGCCCTCTTGGAATTCCGGATCAATTCCGGCGACGAAGTTCTGAGGAAACAGTTTGAAACCACGGCTGTGAACCTGGCCTATTGCTCCAAAACCCAACAGAAGCAAATGCTGGAGATTTGTGAGAATTGTGTGCGCGAAGAAATGCTGAGGGAGGTGAGGGACTCTCAGTTTTTCTCCATCGTCACCGACGAAGTGGTGGACTTAGCCGGCGAGGAACACTTACCCATCCTGGTGAGATTTGTGGACGACGCTCACAATTTGCGAGAGGAATTCGTCGGTTTCTTACCTTACGAAGCCGACCCGGAAATCTTAGCGGTGAAATTCCACACCACCATTACCGAAAAATGGGGCTTAAACATGGAGTATTGTCGAGGTCAGGCCTACGTCCTCTCCAGCGGGTTCGCTTCTAAAATGAAGACCGTGGCCACGAGGATCTTGGAGAAGTATCCTCAGGCCATATACACGTTGTCTTCTTCGTGTGCCTTGAACCTCTGGCTGGCCAAATCGGTCCCCGTTCTTGGCATTTCAGTGGCGCTGGGAACCATGGAGGAGACCTGCTTGTTCTTCCTACAGTCCCCTCAGATGTCGGCCGGGCTAGACAACACCCTCTCCGCCCTCTTCCACAACAACGAGGAGAAAGGGAATTTGCTGAAGGAGTTCGCCCGTTCTCACTGGACGGGACGCCACAACAGCTTTGAGATTGTGGTTGACCTTCTCCAGGCTCTGGTGCTCTGCTTGGACGGCATCAACGATGCTTCCGCGGCATGGAACAGCTCCCTGGTGGGGCAGGCGAGCATTCTCTCCATGGCCCTGGCGAATTTTGACTTCGTGGTGACTGTGGTCATCATTAAGAACGTCCTCTCGTTCACCAGAGCTTTCGGGAAGAATCTCCAGGGCCAAACATCCGACGTCTTCTTTGCGGCCAGCAGCTTGACCGCCGTCCTGCATTCCCTCAACGAGGTGATGGAGAACATCGAGGTGTATCACGAGTTCTGGTTTGAGGAAGCCACCAATTTGGCCTCCAAGCTGGATATCCCCATTAAATTGCCTGGGAAGTACTGCCGCGCCCAACAGGGAAATGTAGATTCGGAGATCACTCCGGAGAATTACTACAAGGAAGCCCTCAGCATCCCCACGGTGGAACACATCATCCAGGAGTTGAAGGATATCTTCTCAGAACAGCACCTGAAGGCCCTCAAGTGCTTGTCTCTCGTGCCTTCGGTCATGGGGCAGCTCAAATTCAACACCTCCGAGGAACACCACGCCGACATGTACAAGAACGACCTCACAAACCCAGATACCCTCTCCGCGGAGCTTCACTGCTGGCGGATCAAGTGGAAGCACCGCGGAAAGGACATTGAACTTCCCACCACCATCTACGAGACCCTCCACCTGCCGGACATCAAGTTTTTCCCCAACGTCTACTCCTTGCTCAAGGTCCTTTGCATCCTGCCCATCATGAAGGTGGAGAACGAGAAGTTCGAAATCGGCAGGCGGCGTTTGAAGGCCTACCTCAAGAACACGGTCACCGAGCAGCGCTCCAATAACCTCGCCCTGTTGAACATAAACTTTGATATCAAGCACGACCTGGACTTAATGGTGGACACATACATGAAGTTCTATCCAGAGAAAGTGGAATTTCAAGAGGGGTTTCTCCCTTCGCACAATTCCGAAGAGGTCCAAGAGACTTAGCCGAACGAGGGAAAACGGACCACCAGGAGCGGTTGAGATACATCATTTGGCCTTCTTAAAAAAAAACAGAAAACAATAATAAGGGTCCATTCGGCACCCCCACTTGAAGTAAAATGTCAAGAGTAGAGCCCCTTACGTTGTCTTGAAAAGGAGCCGCAGATAATTTACCCAGCTCTGTTTTTGCAGCTGAGGCCTTGTTCTCTGAGCATAACGCACTCAAGTTCCTCCTTGGTTTATGGCCAAGAAAAGCCAGTTCATAAAGAAGAGAGTGTGTTACTCCTTGTTGAATTTCTTTCCTCTTGTCCCCAAATTCCAGGCCCAAGAAAGAAGGATGCAATTTTGACCTAAGCTATGCTGTAGAGATGTACTTTTCCATCTCTTGAACCCTTTTGCTAGGAGGTTTAGGGGAAAAGGTATCTTGAGGTTCTTCTAGAGACCAGGAATGTCCAATCTTAGCCACTTGAAGACTTGTGGACTTCAACTCCCAGAATTCTCCAGCTGGCTACGGCTGAGGAATTCTGGGAGTTGGAAGTCCACAAGACTGAAGTTTGGGAGTTGAAGTCCAAAAGTCTCGAAGTGACTTAAAGGTTGGATAACCCTGGTCTGCACCAAGGGTTTTAAACCTGGGGACCGCCCCAATTAGCTGAACTAAGTTATCGTTTCTAACTAGGCTTCTAAAGTTATTTCGGGGGGTGGGGTGGGGAAAGGAATTTCGTGAATCCAGCACTGTTTTCAGAATTGCAGCCCACTTTATTAATCAAGGTTTGGTTGACTTGTTCTTCTCGGGTCCTTTTTCCCACCAATTTTGTCCCGTAGAGATGTGGGGGGTTTTCCCTCCCTTCCATAAGTGAATTCATCTCTCTTCTCAAAACGAGACTTTGCAAACCGCTAAAACTGATGGCCAGCTAGTTTTACTGTTTAGATCCTGATGAATGACCAGTGACTTAACACGAAAACTTGGCAAACAAGCAAAATAACGGGTTCTGAAATGTGGGAACTTGTTGTTTTTTTTAATGTAGAAGTCCTACAGAAACTTTTTGGAAATATTTTTGGGCCGAAACAAAAGGAAGGGGAGGGGAATGAATTTTTTGGTATAGTTTCTTTCCATGCAGAAATAAAATGTGAATTTGCTATTTTGGTCTGAGCCGTTGGTTGTAGCAGTAAAAGGTTCGCTGCCTTTCTAATTGGGCTTGGAAGCTAAACTGGGGTGTGGCTTGCTTAACACCTGGATATGGAAGGCCATGGTTCATCTCGAAGTAAAATTTCCTAACCGGTGAAATCAATCCTCAACGTACGACCATTATGGAGCCCGGAATTGTGGTCATAAGTTGTCGGTCGTTAATTAGGTGGCTCACCAAACTATGGTTATAGGACCTGGGGGTTTGGCTCAGCCACGGAACGTCAAATCTGGCTTGTATTGAGTCCGTCTTAATTTTGAAGAGTTGCTGAGAAACTGGTCGTTAGTCAAGAACCCCTTGTAATGTTGCCCCCAAAACAACAAAGATGTCATAAAATCAGTAAGAAGTTGCATTCAACCCCAAGAGGATTTTTATTTTTATTTTGGTAATAATTGTGAAGCCTTTTTCTTCAATCTGGGCATCCTGCATTCTCAACCTAAGCTATTTCAAGACATGGGGACTTCAATTCCCGGTATTCCCCAGCCAGCCATCCTTCCAATATTTGAGGGGCCGTCACAAAGAGTTTGGGGAGGGGGGGGTCAACCTATTCTGCAAAGCACCTGAGGGCAGGACAAGAAGTAACAGGTGGGGAAGATCATTAAAAACAGATCCAACCTAGAAATGAGAAATTTCCTCACAGTGAGAACAATTAAATCAACGGAAAGGCTTCAAGAGGTTGTAAGTGCTCCATCATCGGAAGTTTTTAAGAAAAAAAAAATGGACAGCCATTTGTCCACAATTGATTAGGGTCTCCTGCTTGGGCGGGGGGGTTGGACTAGATCAGTGGCCGCCAGCCAGTGGGCTGGGGACCACTGGTGGTCCGTGAGAAAATTTTGGTGGTCCGCAGAGAAATGTCCCCCCCCCCCCAAAGCAATTAATCCAAGCTGTGCAGGAACACAAGGCAGCGCTGCCCACATGGCCCGTGGGAACACAAGGCTTGCGTCACTTGTATTGCAAAAAACATGAGGCAGTGAGAGGAAGGTGAAAGTGCAGATGAGGGGAACTTGTCCCATTCGCCCCACACGCCTGGCCTGGCCACCGGGCTGCTTCTTTCCACTCTTCTGCTTTTGGCTGCACGCAAGGAAAGCAGCAGAAGTCTTTCTCTCCCCAACTCCGCCAGAAATGAGTCTTTGGGACCCTGCAAGGCCTCCTGCTCCAAGAGGCTGCGAAGACTCCTTTCTGGCGGAGTTTGGGAGAGAGAAAGACTTCTGCTGCTCCTGCTGCTTTCCTTGCATGGAGCCCAAAGTCTCTCTTTCTCCCCCTGAGAACGGAGCTGGAGACGGTATCCTGCGATCCCAAATAAAGAATGATTGATTGGTAGGAAAACGGGGGTGAGGAATTTTCCTGCATACTTTTTGGGGGATTTTCCCAGGGTCTCTGGTCCGCAGGATTTAAAATTATGAGTTTGGTGGTCCCCGATGTCCAAAAGGTTGGTGACCTCTGGACTAGAAGACCTCCACGGTCCCCTTCCAACTTCTTGTTATTCTGATTTTATCAAATGAACCACTAGATGGCGCCGAAGTCCTATCTCTCAACTCACAATCAGCATTTGCAAATTTCTATTTTAAAAAAATGTGTTTTAAATAAAAAAAATTTTTTTCCTTCTCCCCCTCCTCTAGGTTTCTGCTGCCTACATTCCCCGTATTTGGGGACATTGCATAATAACAGGTGGAAATTCCAAACAAGTAAAATAAAATGGATCTACTTGGAAAGTTCCAAGGAAGATATAAAACTTCCAAGGGGATTTTTAGCTCAAAAACCATCTGCTATCCCAAGGAACGGGTCATGTCCACAACCCTTCTCTTTTATATTAGTTATTGCAGCTTCTTCCCCTTTGCTATTATCTTACGGTTGAATTATAGGTTGGTGAAGTTGGAAGGGGCCACCAAGATCATCTAGTCCACCCCTCAAATGCGCAGACCTCTTTTCAAGTCTCCATCGATGGAGGACTTAACCAATATCTGAAAGAATCTCCTTTGCTCAGTCCTTTTCATTCCTCCCGGGGTTTTAATTATGACTACTCTTGAACTTTTTACTTTCTAGATCAGAATTTCTCAACCTACCCGCTTTAAGAGGTATGGACTTCAACTCCCAGAATTCCCCAGTCAGCATGACCATGGCTGGCTGTATGGAATTCTGGGAGTTGAAGTCCACCCTTTCTTAAAGGGGCCAAGGTTGAGATTTAAAATATGTTGAGAAACAGGACTAAATGAATTTTTCTCTGTGGCCTTTTGGGAAATGAAGAGGTTGAGGAACATTCTGGATCAACTGAAAAACCAAAGTGAAAGTAGGAATTCCAGCAAGGCCCCAGCCTCTCCTGGGAGATGCCATATGTTACCATCCCACATCATCTGCAAGGCACTTAATATCCAGCTTCTAGCCAGCCTCCTCTGTCCCAATGATTTCTAGTTGTGTGAAGAGAAGGACCAGGGGAGACATGACAGCATGAGAAAGAGTTGGAAGGGACCTTGGAGGTCTTCTAGTCCAACCTCCTGCCTAGGCAAAAAACCCTGCACCACTTCAGGCAAATGGTTATCCAACATCTTTTTAAAAACCTCCAGTGTTGGAGCATTCACAACTTCTGGAGGCAAGTTGTTCCATTTGATTAATTGTTCTCGCAGCCAGGAAAAATTTCTCCTTAGTGGATAGCAACTTTTGTTTCTCTCTGGTTATGGCTGTTTGGATGCTGAAAATTTCAGAGTCGAATCCAGATGGGACCAGATGATATTACGGAGCGATGTTGACGTAACCAAGAAGAGTGAAGCGTTATGGAAGCATGGATGGATGATGTTCTATATGGAGTACATCCATGACGTTCACGGATGGTGTGTAGAGGCACAGAAAGGGCATTTCGGAGTCTTGTTTTGCTGGCCAATTCATTGCATGGTAGCCCGCTATAATAATAATAAGAATTCCTCTGCCAATTCCTGAGTGAGTCCAGGGTTTCCGTTTCAGCCATCTTTTGCACGATAAGAAATCTAGCATTAAAGTCTGGGAAAATCCATGTCTAAAAAAGGAGAGCGAAGAAGCGAGACTTACAATCCAGGGGTGCAAATCGCACACCTATCGTTTTGAAGGCTGAGGAAGGCTCGGACGAGGGCTCTGTGTAAGAGGCAGAGGTGGGGCCAGGCCAGGCTGGCAGTCATCAGCTGCCTTCAGGCTTGGATAGCAGTGAGGCGGGGGAGCTTCTGGAACCAGATCCTAGCCTGCGCATGCTCAGAGCTGCCAAAAGGAAGGCACAATTAAGAACTCGGGGTCGATGTGGGAGCGAGGCCACAGGTGGACGATGAATGCCCGCTCCCATAAGGATTAAAAGAGAAGCAAAAGGAGGAGGGGACTTTTGCAAGAAACAACTCGTTCGTGCGTCTGTTCGTTCCAGCCTCGTGAAGATTTGTCTGTATAACCCAGCCCTTCCGTGTCAATACTGAGCGTGGAATTATTCATCAGGCAGCATTCCAGGATTGGTAAAGGCCTGAGCTCCTTAGTCTACCTTCGCAAGACCGTTTGCCAAGCCGTTAGCCGTCTGTGAATGAAATAAATTCACATTCACGTAATGAAAGAGGGTTTTGCCAGGACTCAAAACTGACTCAGTGCTTTTTTGGGGAGGCCTAGGACAGAACATCACCGTCTCCTGGTGACTGGCCCAAGGTCACCCAGTCAGCTTTCATGACTAAGGTGGCATGGTGTGTGTCATTATTATGCAACACACATTAAAAAAAAAAAAAAAACCAGGCAGAGCTTCAACTGTATTATGACTCTTAACTTTTTTGAACTCTAGGTTTTTCAGACAGAGGCTGGAGGCTCCTCTGTTAGAGGTGGTTCAGCAGATCCTGTCCTGAGGCTGGGTTGGATGACCTCTAAAGACCCTTCAATTCTCTTAATTCTCATCCTTGGGGTTGCACAGCTTCCATAACCGCTACTAACCCAAAATTGAACTCGACACACGATTTTCTCAGCGTCATTTTGGATGACAGTGCAGCAGCTGGGAACCCAGCCCCTAGATATCTCCCAGATGTAAAGGGAGGTAGAGGGGGCTGGGATTGTATTTTTATTTTTGGGGGTGAAATTAAAAAAAAAAGGAAAGCGCCTGAAAACAGAACTGGAAATTAAGGGTCAGGAGAGATAAAAATTTATGGATCGAATCAAACGAGCTGGGCTGTTGCGAAGGGATTTAAGAAATATTCTCAGTAATGTTAAACTTCTGGGCTGCTTGCTCTGTGAATTCCATCTGGGTGGGGAGGGAGTTATTTCCAAATGCTTGGCTTTAAATATGTGTGTGTGTTTATGTGTGGTTGTGTGGAGGGAGACAACAACCCACCAACGGGAGGCTGTCCAGTCATTCAGTCAAGGCTGCTTCTTGGCTGCACGGAGAGATACCTTGGTGGTGTGCTAAGCTTGATTTTTGGAAAGGACGGTGGGAGCCTAGAAATGCAGGAAGCAGCCCTTGAGGCCATCCAGTCTGACCCCTAGTCTCAAGAGCAGGAATCCCAATGCAATCTATCCCGGATAGATGGC